AGACTTTGCTGAAGCTTTGTTTGCTTCAAACTCCTAAATATACTGATATTGTTGGCATGAGAGGAGTCTGACATTACAAAAAGAAACAGGTAAATAAACCTACCCCACACGTCCTGACGCCCAAAACACACCTTTAAACCAGGTAATAATCATCTCCGACTCCTCAGAAATCTGCAGTGATGAAGGTCAGAGGTCGCGTTATGCAAATGAGCTCCACACCGCCTCCAATGAGTCGGTCATCAATATCGCTCTTCCGTTTGAGTTCGGTGAGAATAATTCTTTGTTGTGATTAATAGAATTGTTTTTCATTGTTTCTCTACTTTTCCCTCTACATTTATAGTCTATGCCAGGAATTTGAAATACAAAATAGGATTTTGTAGTTTGTATTTGAAAGTATTGATGGAAATGACTTCATATTTCGTTTTTAAAAAATAAAACATTTGCATTTTGTAGGTTAAAATACTAATACTTGTAAGAAGTCTATGTGATGACATCATATAAAAGCTGCTTCTGATTGGTTCCTACTCAGTCATTTGCGCAGATTTGTTGAGATCTGAACAGGAAATTGATCCAGACCTGAAAAAGAAGGTCAAGGAATCCGAAACGTGAAGGTTTCCATCATTTTCCCTCCATTTTTAGTATGAATTGTTGCAGTTCTTAACAGTCCCTGTGAAGTTTGTATTAGCAGCACTAGGTTGAATCATTAAATATGGTAACGGTAAAATATAAAAATAAAGGAACTGTTAGGCTAGTTAACTATTCGTTAACCTTCATCTGGATGTGAATATTTGATCTGTTAGTTGGTTGCCTTTCAGATTTATCACATGACTCTTTAGGCAAAGAAAAGCTGTTGCTTTCAAACATTGTCCACTTAATCAGCTGAGCCAGTGTGCTGGTGAAGGGATACATTAAGGTTTGCAGAATGATTTCATGGGATGAGAGCAGTTTATTTTGATACATGGCTGCTGTATTTTGATACACCTGAAATTACGATAGCTGATTCGGTGTCTTACTGGCCTATATATAAATACCCCAGCTTTAGAAGATGATTCAAAGAACAACTCTTACTATGCCTTTGGAAATCAACACAACAATTGTTCGAGGTAAATTTTCATGTTATTGGAGCTGACGGCTCTTATATCAGCAATAAGAATCATCAAATAAATTTCCTTCTCATCTGCCTCCGTTAGGCACATGCGAGGCTCCCTGATGATTTTTGACCTCTGAAAATGTTATTTTGAAAGGCTAAGGTTTATCTCAGCCAGGAGCTAAATTTATAGGCAGATTAAAATATTACTTTCTACATGTTTATGCTTGTTGAACAGGTGTATTGGTAAAGTATTGGCTTTTTACTTGCAATTGTATTATTGCACGTATATGTACAGTAACAAGCGTAGTTGTCGTCAACTCCACTATCTTCACTTCACCTGGTTCACATCACAGTCTCCACCTCTGCTCTGCTTGTGTGAGCTCAGGCCCAACACACCAAATACAGAGAACATTAATATTGTTTGTATTACTATTATGTTTAATATTTGCCCTCCGTCCATTTTACCCGGTTTTGGTAACCATCCCTACTTTGAACAACTTTGTGATGCAATCCACTTGCCTGAAAACAGTTTACTTGCCTGAGAGGTATTTTCTTTTCAACTATACACCTAAATAGTATGAATTCTACCTCCCATAGAACAACATGTTGCTTTGCTGTTCCTACCAGAGCAGCTTTATTATACAGAGGAAACAAAGTTCACTTCCGCCTTCTCATGCCTGTTCTTTTAATTCTGCTTTTTGAGGTCCCTGAACAAAGTGATGGCTGATCACCCTAAACATTGGGGCCATTTTCTACAGTCCACCTTGTTCACCCTTCAGACCAAAAAGCAGAAAAATTTAAAGCACAGGCCTTACTATTTGATGTTTGGGAGGCAGGCGAGGTATCCCTCAAAAGCTGTAAAGCCAAAAATGTAATAATTCAGCAATGGCTATAAAGTTGGATTCTTCATCGGTGTGCAACAGCACGCATGCACCGACACCAGATGGCGAGCTTCACCCAAGGAACTTGTGCCGACAAGGATCGAAAAGACTGGATCACCTGCATGCGGAGTTGAGCTAATGGAAATGGGACACTGTACTGGAAGTGTGCCAATGCATTTAATGGAGCGTTAAACTGCCAATGGTGACCTGTATCAATGTTTGAGTGATGAATCCTGTTTCATCTGTAAAGGTGAAAAACTTAAGAGTTAATTAACCTGACAAAGGTCTTTAAAACCTGCTCATATGAAAACAAGAAAATAGTTAACTGAAGATGGAAAACAGCTAAAATAAATAGGTCTAACTTAAAGCTGTTGATATCTAGTTGACAAAACTAACTTGACAAGATTGAAACTATTAATGTATCCCATTACCTCTTACATGAATCGTTATTTTGCACATTTTAATCTCAACAGAAACCTTATTTTTTTAAAGAAAATACACAATATATTGTAGTCCCTTCATTTATTGAATTCTTTTCTAAAATTCAGGTAAACCTTTTGTCTGAAGAACAAATTATAGATAAATTCTTTGCTGGATAAACAATCAAATTTGACTGATCAACCGACTATAGAAACTTAAGATTTTTACTTCATTGTCATCACTGGGGGGCAGAAATCTGAAGAACATCTCAAACATTTAATTCTGATTCATTTCCAAGATCTGGTTTCATTCCAGAGATAGTGTTATTGTGGATCTCAAATTCAACAGATTTAATGTTTCAGATTATATTTGTTGTATCCCAACATTTTTATATCCCTCTTCAGGCCTCATCCACCCCACCCTATAGTTACCCCCCCCCCCCCCCCATCACTGCTTGGACTGAGGACGACCTGCAGACGGTCGTTGAGGATTCATCCAGTCAATAACTGTTCTGACTGACGCATTTATTTATGGAACAGATGTTCTTGAAAGCAGAGAGGGGAATGTTTGTGGGGATTTAATTACAATGTCAGGAATGACAAAGCTATTGATTGTAGTATTTCATAAATTGACTAAAAAGTCAGACTTTTGTCATTACCATCTTAAAATTATGCCTCGCATCAGACTATTGGAAAGACTTCTCAACTGGACTAATCTGCAAAAGGAATTTCAACAGGGATCTGACAAATCAAACTATTGTTAATTCTGTGGTAAATAACTCAGTCACCATGTTTCTTTTATCTGTCCACCTGATAATTTTTTATGCTGCCATCTTTGCAATAGCACTTTGTCTCCTAAATGGTTACATAAATTATAAAAATGTAACCGAGGCAAATAGTGAGGGGTTCAAACCCCCAAATATCTAACAATTGCCATAGGCTCCCCACAATTAAGATTAAGCCACCTAAACACAGCAAATCAAGACACAAACCACACAACAACAGCTATCATACACACCACCACATGCAGTGAAGGGGAAAGGGGTTCCCAAAATCCACCACACTGTCCGTCTGGCAGAACACTAAAAAAAAAAGAAAAAAAAAGACAGAAAATGGCTAATAAGCTGAGGGAAATCACGCAGCCGGAAGATGGCCACACCTGTAGCAGACCTTAGCAGTTGGCAAAACATTCACAGGGCCCATCCACGTGTAACAATCAAGTAAGAATCCACATAAAAATATAAGCATGAATAGCAGGAGTTGATCAGGCAGGTAAAACAGTAGTGGCTATACAATCCTAAAATTACAATAATTGAATTAGTTCCATTATTTAACACATACTACAAAAACATACCTGCTAAATACCTTCCAGATGATATTTACCTCAAACAATGCAGTAAGTAGTCAACCCAGCTCTGACTCCACCTTATTTACGCATCAGACGTTTAGGCCCACTGAAATGTAAATCATGTTATCAAAAGGCCACCTATAAAACACAAACTAGTAAACTTGCATAGCTCTACTAGATAACCCCGAGGTAAAAAGATGCAGTCAACCACCAATGCCTTCTCTGCAGTGAACTTTAGCACAGCAGGCTATTCAGCCGACAAGGTCTGGACAACAGGTGGCTTAAAATGCCTGTGATGAAAACAAATTAAAACATGTTCACAAAAGTTAAAACATTGTCAGCCTTGACGCATTACTTCTAGACGACATACCTGCTCTCTAGCCATACTGGAACACAATGCCTACTGAGAGATCCTGAGTGTTCCCCATAAATCAACTCTTAAAGAGACGCAGGTGTCTGTCTGCTTCTGGAGAGACAGGGGGTGGAGCTTCACTGAGAGCTTGCAAATGATTGTGGCATTACTAGGCCAAATGCCTGCCTATCACAATAAGTTTGACTTTTAAAGTAAATGTAGCCTTTTGTCCAGTTATTTACTTAATATTTTGGCTTGTTACTTTATAACTGACTTTAAAAAGTCAGTTTTGATCAAATTCTAATCATATTTCTTTAAGGGGTAAATCCCAAAACACCATAAATGGTACTTCTTCTTCTTGACTTGTATGATAATTCTAGCACCAACTAGATATTTTGACTTTCATCATTTTAATTTTAGAATGTTAAATATATGACAGTGGGTCATAATTTTTGACTTACTCATGTCTCAACACAACAACTGGCACATTAACTGAAAGATTAATGAAATGTTACAAAATAAAGGGCACACATTAGGTTTTTAGCCCTTAAAAAATTCATCCTTAGATTAAAAAAAAAAACATTAAAAACCCTTAATTTATCAGTTAATTAAATGTTGATTAATTTACCAAAAATTTGGGTTAACCTGTATAAAACATTCGTCTTTTGTCGTCTCAGTGTTGAAATACAAAGGAAGTAATTTCTAACAACGACTCTTCATGTCCTCCATGTTGCCGTTGCCTAGCACTGATGTTCTCACGAGTTAATATCAAGCATTTTGTGTCCACGGCTTCCCTTGTCGTGACCACAAGCTCCATTTGAAGGCTGCGTAGCCTTTCTGTAGCGTCAAAGAATCTGACGGATAAGTAAGTACCCCCTGTCCAGAAAGTCTGGACACACCACCAACTGTATCTCGTTTACTTTCCATACACTTAAAACATATTCAGGGTGGTTCCCAGGATGGAGGTACATCACAAAAACTCATGTCCACTTTAAAATTAAATGAAATTCAAAGAGAGGGAGACAGTGAGCAGTTCAACGAACAGGGAAGCGTCAAGAGAATGTGTGTGTTGTGCTGCATGTGCCTCTGTGTGACAGTTTTATGTGAGGGCTGATGGACGGCTCAGCTGTCAGGTAGGCAGAGAAGCACCAGCAACTGACTGCGGTGGCGGTACAGGCAGGACGCGGCCATATAAGGTCACCGGTGGTTGGGGAAAGTCCTCCAGGCCTCTGTGCTTCCTACAAACAACCCTCAAATACCTGCTGCTCTCCACATATTCATCTATAAGTTCAGGGATTGGGGTCAAATGATCGGATTCGTGAGTTGGGAAGAAGTCACAAAGTCATAGCTCAAATGTGAAAGGCCAGAAGTATGAAATGTTTGAAGCCTCAGCAACTTCCAACTAACTACTGAGCAGAGGGGGTTTGTTTCCACTGCTACACATGTTATACGTAGATCAACCAAATATTGATAACAGTCAACAATACAACATGTAAACTGCTGAAAACATACAATCAGGTAGCAGTTAATGTTTGTAAACGTATTTGGCCTGTGATGGAGATATTAAAATACTTATTACCATTAATGATTGTAAACAAACTGTGAACAGTCACTTAGATTTTTTTGTAACGCACTGGTGGACCGCTGCCAGCTGAACAGCATGAGTCAATCCGTCCTAATCATTTACATCTGAAGCAGTGGGTGAGAAGAGGATTATGGGAAAGTGAGTTTTTGGGTGAGTAAATCCTTCCTAGACATTCTCATAAAATCCTGTTTTTATATTTCAGTGATCTGGTATATGAGATAAAAGTCAGGTACCTAAATGAGATGCTCCTCAAATGCATCAGTATATTTACACACAGGTTTGAATCCTTTGTGATATTCCTTGATAGGATGGTAGGACTACTCACCACTGCTGCTCTTTTAGCTCCAGTGCTACAGGCCAACACGAGAGACAAAAAGAAGAAGAAGGGGCTGGCAGCGGTGCTGACCAGGTCCTGCAGAACAGTCTTTTTTTTTTTTTTTTTTTTTTTTTTAGATACCTTGCTTTGAGAAATACAAACATGTTTTTCTATAATCTTCATGCCAGTTTTTAGTACATGGTGCATTGGATACATTTTACATGTCACTTATTTAGCTGAAACTAAGCTTTATCCAATGCAATTGCTATGTACAGTGGGGGAAATAAGTATTTGACCCCTTGCTGATTTTGCAGGTTTGCCCACTTACAAAGAATGCAACGATCTATAATTTTAATCATATGTACATTCTAACAGTGAAAGACAGAATCCCAAAGAAAATTCCAGAAAATCACATCATATGAATTTATTAAAATTGATAACCATCTGATGAGGAAAAACAAGTATTTGACCCCCTGGACAAACAGCATGTTAATATTTTGTAGAAAAGCCATTATTGGCCAGCACAGATGTCAAACGGTTTTTATAGTTGGTGACAAGGTTTGTGCACATTTCGGCAGGGATGTTGGCCCACTCCTCCCTGCAGACAGCCTCCAAATCATTCAGGTTCCGAGGTTGTCGCCTGGCAACTCGAATTTTAAGCTCCCTCCAAAGATTTTCAATTGGATTCAGGTCTGGAGACTGGCTAGGCCACTCCAGAACCTTGATGTGCTTCTTCTTCAGCCACTCTTTTGTTGCTTTGGCGGTGTGCTTAGGGTCGTTGTCGTGCTGAAACACCCATCCTCGACCCATCTTCAGCTCTCTCACTGAGGGAAGGAGATGTTGGTCCAGAATTCCACGATACATGGCCCCGTCCATCCTCCCCTCAATACGATGGAGTTGTCCCGTCCCCTTGGCTGAAAAGCACCCCAAAGCATGATGTTGCCACCACCATGCTTGACGGTGGGGATGGTGTTCTTTGGGTTGTACTCGGTGTTCTTTGCCCTCCAAACACGACGAGTTGAGGCCAAAAAGTTCTATTTTGGTCTCATCTGACCACATCACCTTCTTCCAGGCCTCTTCTGAGTCGTCCAGGTGGTGAATGGCGAACTTCATGCGGGCCTGTACATGTTTCTTCTTGAGCAGGGGACCTTGCGTGCGCTGCAGGATTTCAATCCATGACGGCGTAGTGTGTTACCAACCGTTTCTTTTGTAACTGTGGTCCCAGCTGCCTTCAGTTGATTCATCAGTTCCCCCCTTGTGGTTTTGGGATGATTCCTCACCGTTCGCATGATCAGGGACACCCCACGAGGCGAGATCTTGTGTGGAGGCCCAGACCGAGGGAGGTTGGCGGTGGTGTGGTGCTTCTTCCGTTTCCTGATAACTGCACCGACAGTTGATCTTTTCTCTCCAAGTTGCTTTCCGATTCTCTTGTAGCCCATCCAAGCCTTGTGCAGATCAACAATCTTGTCCCTGATGTCCGTAGAAAGCTCTTTGGTCTTGCCCATGGTGGTGATGTTGGATGCTGGTTGTTTGGGTGTTGACAGGTGTCTTTTATACAGGTAACGAGGTGAGGCAGGTGTATTTGATGTAGATAATTGGTTGGGATTGGGGCTGTGTCTTAAAGAAAGACTAACTGTCTTGTAGGAGCCAGAATACTTGCTGTTTGTCCAGGGGGTCATATACTTGTTTTTCCTCATCAGATGGTTATCAATTTTTATAAATTCATATGATGTGATTTTCTAGAATTTTCTTTGGGATTCTGTCTTTCACTGTTAGAATGTACATATGATTAAAATTGTAGATTGTTGCATTCTTTGTAAGTGGGCAAACCTGCAAAATCAGCAAGGGGTCAAATACTTATTTCCCCCACTGTATGTCAGAGGTCACACGCCTCTGGAGCAACTGGGGTTGTGGATGTTAGTGTTGTGTCGTTCAAAGAACGTATCGTTCATTTGACCTAATCTTGTATGTGACTCAGAAGGAACGGGTTGTCTCAGTGAGTAATTCGTTCATTTTCACGCATGCGTGAATAGTCTTAGTCTAGTCTAGTAACAAAACAAACGGACTCGGTCATTAAAACACAGCCACATAGCAGCGTTAGCGTTCGCCCTGTGGTTTGTTTACAGCTAACAGCTGATCCAGTCCGCCAGAGAACACAATGTCACATTTACTTTTTATTTATCGACAGAGCCGTGCTGTTGTTTCACAGCTCCTCACTGGTGAACAACCTGCAGTGTTTGAGATTATTATTAAATTTTAATAAGAGTGTGTTTTATTCATCTAGTGCAGAGGTCACTAATAGGCGGACCGCGGTCTGGATCCGGACCCAGCCGCCGTCCTCTCCGGACCGCCGACCTACAGCCCATTTATTATTGAGACTTACTACCTCGTGACGGAGCGTTTCTATTTTAACCCGCGCAGCTTTTCTAGCATTTACTGTACTGGTTTAGAGGACCAGGAAACTCACAGACCAATCGCATGTGCTCCAATCGTCTCATGTGACGCTGCTCAGCCAATCAAATCTGTGCATACCGAGGCTTGCGAGTCGAGTCCGCGAGATTCACCACAGACGTTTTGGAAACACACCCGAATTGAGGAGACGAAAGATAAGAGATTTCACATGACTTTTAATCAAGAATGTACAGATTTTTACATGTACATTCCTCCCACGGGCAGTTCAGAACCAGAATATCTCATAGATCTCCAATATGCTAGCTGGAGCTCACGTTTCTCACTGAACAACAGAAAGCAGGAAAGTGGTAGCTCTGTAAGAGGAAATGAAAGAGAAGAGGAGGCATTACAGCTGTTCATTTGTTATGATGTGTTGAGTGTTTATTATAAAATTGGTTAAGACTACACTTCATCACTTCAAGCTACACTTTTTGTTACATTTTTTCTAAAAATTAGGCACTTTAGTTTACTTAAATTTAGAATTTATTATTTGAATAGTTATTATTTATTATCCCTCCAGTTTGATGTGAAAACTGACTGAAATATTATTTGATTTGACAGTCCGTTGTTGACTAAAAACATGTGTTGATACAACTATAGGTTATAGTACTGAATGATAACG